GAACAGCCCTTCTGTGTAACTCCTTGCAGCAGGGTATAGGTGGTCAATAAACACATCTCCTTGATAGTGCTTCATAAAGTTGATGTACATGTGCCTCATATACTCTCTGTACTCCACTTCAGGGAACACTGCACCCACAGCCTTCTCAAGTCATTTACAAGCATCAGTACATATGACTAAACCTGTAGGTGAACCCACTGCTCTATGCAACTACTGCATGAACCACTTCCAATTGTCTTCTGTTTTATAATCAAAAACACCATATGCCACATGGTATAACCAGTTGTGCTCATCCACAGAAGTTGCTGATGCCAACTACCCTCTATATTTGCCATGCAATGCAGACTCATCTACACCTATAAATGGCCTACAACCAGCTAAGAAGCCATCAATACATGGCTTCAGGGCTACAAAAATCCTCTTGAAGCGCTTCTTCTTCTTCCCTTCTAACTCTATCTCTATAATGCTTCCAGGAGAACTCATTTCTATCTGTGCTTTCCAATTGAACAATAGCTGAAAACTTTCTGAGTACTTCCCATGAAGCTGTTGTAGGGCAACCTTCAAACCACACCATACCTTGGAGTATTTCAGTTTAATGCCATAGTCTCCTTCTAGCTTTTTCTTTGCATCCTTGGCTCCTTTATTTGGGTTCTTCTTGACCTAGTCCGCCAACCTATCTGCACACCAACCTTGACTAGCCATCTTTCCCTCCCTCAGCTTGGTAGTGGGACAATTATGTTCAGCAGGCAATGTTTTAATCTACATAAGAAATTAAGATGAGTATCATATGTATAACTGAATAAGTTACAAACAGTAATAAAAAGGACCACACCAACCTGTATTGTTTTATTATCAAAAATCCTAGATGCATGAATTCTCCATGGGCAACCTTCGGCAGCACAATGTGCAATGAATCTTGTTGGGTCAGTTTGCAACTTAGCTAACTCGAAACCTTTCTTGACAGCGTAATGTCGAATAGCTTTTCTGAATGTTACTATGTCAGGAAACAATTGTCCCTTAACAATCTTTGGATTTTCAGGATCATGGGGGACATTTATTTCCTGGGGATCTGCATCATCAATTTCTGCCTCAAGAGGAGCACCTCCATCAGCAACAACAGGATCAGCATTATCAACAGATGGTTGGGCACTGTCAGTGTTGTCTGGGTGTGTAGGTGGTACTAAAATGTAGATGTGCTCATCATCAACCCCAACATACTCCTCTTCATTGTCAAAGATGTCTGGCTCCCTATCAGGCTCTACGTTCGACTCATCGGCAGTACAAGGATTGGCATAAGTAGAAGCTTGGGCATTTGGAATGGCATCAGTAGAAGCTTGGGCATTTGGAATGGCAGCAGTAGAAGCATTAGTTGCATTTGAAATGGTATCAGTAGAAGCTTGGGCATTTGGAATGGCAGCAATAGAAGCATTAGTTGCATTTGGAATGGCAGAAGCACAAGCATTTGCATCAAGATTGAAATCAGAAGGGTTGAGTGCTCCATCATCAGGTGGAATAACACATAAAGACTCTATCAACTCATACTCAAATGCATCAGCAACAACATTATCAAAGACTCCTACCAACAAACAGCAACACATTTCAAACTTATACATGTCAAACAAATCTATCATATGAATGTCACTGACTAATCTGACATCTTCTTGCACATTCTTATCAAAGAACCATAGAGATGCAGACTGGTTAGAGGCCCATTTAACTTCATTCCGCAAGCTTTCCATCAACAAGTCTACAGAAAACGACCCTATCTCGACATTCCACTTAATCACCGAACCTTTGGTGTAAACTTTCCTACCCAACGCATCTGTTGTATTGAAACCTTCAACTTTAATCTCTAGTGAGAAGAGGTCGGTCCTAGCAGGAAGTAAGCAGATCAAGTCAATGAGTTCTACAACAAATTGCAGTAACAACTAGGGTAACCTAGCAACTAGCCTATTCATCGAGGGAAAAAGTCATGTCAGATCGAAAATACCTCGGCATGTTGTCGTCCATTGCTGCAGCACTTGAACTGGTAGCTGTGGATGCCATCTCCGCTCAGCAGATGGGGCAGGGAAGGAGCAGCAGTAGCCGAGGTCGACGCCGGCGCCCTCCGTAGTCGTGGTCGCCGCCGCCGTGAGCAGTAGTCACCGCCGCTGCCGGTCGCAGTCGCCTCCGCTCAGCAGATGGGGCGGGGAAGGAGCAGCTGTAGCCGCGGTCCACGCCGCTGCACTCGGTAGTCGCGGTCGCCGCTGCCGCCGGTCGTAGTCGCCTCCGAGGCGGACTACCTAGGGTTCGAGCGAGAGAGAGAGGAGGCGGTGGGGAATGGATGGATTGAGTCGATCCAGTCAAACCAGCGCTGAGAATCTAGGGGCAACACGGTCCATACGAATGTACGTAACCCCTGTATACATCTGCATGTGGGCCAACCGTCGCGGCAAGTGTACATAATGGCATTTTTCAGACTCCAGTGTAATTATAATGGTACTCTTACAATAAGTTGAATAGTAATGATATTTCTAAGAAACGCGAGAATTATAATGGCACCAATCCAATTAACCCTTTTTTTATATGCGACGCCTTCAGTAAAGTCAGTTGTGCCATTGCCGTTGCCGCCTGAGGTGGACAAGTCCCTGGGTCCTTATTATGTTGTTTCAAAGTCTTCTTCTGGTGGCTCAACTACAGAGTCCAAGCTGGCAGCTCTTGATCGAGACCTACCATCGTGCCATGGGGTTGTGCTAGGCGAAGTGGAGTAAAGACCACATGTGTTCTCCGAAAGTGCTCCATGCAGTTCATGATCTCTCGGAATCCTTTTCTGCTAGATCACCAATTCAATCCATGCATGTTACTTCTCATTCTGAACAGCTCTCTTTTTTCTAGACTTGCTAGCACCCGGACGTCCGATCCGAATCGCTGGCGTCGGACGGTGTTCTTGGACCCACGCCTAACACACCCAACTCCCTCGCCCCGCACCCATCCTGCTCCAGAGGCCACGTAGTCCCACACGTGCACGGGACCACCCCAAGCTCGCTCCGTCTCACGCGCCCGCATGCACGTAGCAGGAGCACCACCACCACTACTAGGCGTGCGCGGTGAACCACGGCGTGTATAGCCATAGCAACATGTGCAACACCAGATCTACTTTTGAAACATTCCAATTGCAACATTTGCAACATACAAAAGAAGACGGATGAAACACTTGAAAAATACGTCTAGAACACTTGAATAATATCTTAAAAACACTTGAAAATCATTGCAACATACGCAACATTCAGATAAAACACTCGCAACATATGTGTGAAACATATACAACATCCAGATAAACACACTTGCAACATACATCTGAAAAAATAAATGAAACACTGAAACATACGCTTGTAACATACGTGTACAAACCATTGCAACATATGCAACACATCCCGATCTACTTTTGCAATATCTGTATGAAACACTTGGAACATATCTTTGAAACATCTAAAACATTTAAAATATACATTTGCAACATGCGGCTTTCAGGGCAACATCTCTTTGCTACTTGGGAGAAACATAGGCTCGTCGGCGTGTGAAGTTCATCGGTGTAGAGCTCACCGGTGCGCGAAGCGACCGGCCAGGGGTGCAAAAGCCATCGAGCTCAGCGGCCGAAGCGGAGCCGCCCTCTGTTTCTTCGAGCCCGGCAATGGAGCTTCGCGTTGTCGATGGACCGACCAAGGGACACCGCAGCCTTGGAGTGGACCGGTCAGGGAGCAGCTACGGACTGGCTAGGGGGCGTGATGGGGCGGCGGCCAGATCGGAGCCGCCCTCCATTTCTTCAAGCCTGGCGATGGAGCTTCGCGTCGTCGGCGGATTGACCAGGGGACACCGCGCAGCCTTGGAGCGGACCGGGAAAGGGGCAGCTGCGGACAAGCCAGGGGCACGATGGGGCAGCGCTGGCGAGGCGAACCCCACGATTGTGGCTCTGCGGAGCGCGGTCGCGGTGGAGAGCCTTTTGGAGAACGAAGACATGATACTATTAGAGGCGAGTGGATTGTTGGGCCGTTGGGCTGGTATCGCGTCCCATGAACACGGCCGTCCAGACGATCGGACGCCCTAACCAGAGCATTATCGTTTTTTTTAGGAATCGGAACAACTCTTTTTTTTTTTTGCGTGGCGTTCTCTGGTCCTGCTTCGCGGGCAGTCCAGTTCCAGCCTTCCAGAGCTTTCCTGGACGGTGTGCCGAGCACAACCGCTGTGACATGATTCGTCGCAAAAAAAGAAAAAGAAAAAAAAAGTTGTGACATGATGATTGCCGGTCTACAGACCACGTGGGTAGTTTCGTTTTGAGGCCCATATGGCTCAACGGCCCACGAACAGGCGGGCTATCTATTGGCAGGCTGTAACTAATGCTTGGCCCACCTTCACATTATCCGTGCTGCGTCGTGCTAAACACCAGGAGAAATAAAAGCGAGAGAACAGAAAAGGCCCAAAACACAGGCAGCCGTAGCAGCTAGTAGCCGGCATGCATATATACGTACATATATGCATGTACTCAAACAATTACAAAAAAAGAGCTAGTAGCAGTGTTGGATACATACACGTACGACGCATCATACCATCAAGAGCAATCAGCCTAGCTGTTGCTTAAACACTGCGGGCAGCTCCGACAGAATGACGGCTCCTGATGATATGTGCATCACTCCATCTCAACATACTTATAAGGTGGTATTACTACGGTGTACATTGGTATACGTATACAGCCTGGTAGTAGGCGCTGCAGGTAGCAGAGCTAGCTACCATACATGAATGATGAACACCTCATCAGTCAAACAAGCTATAACAAAGCAAGAAACAGTATAATGGTGGTGTGCATGGTATTATGTATATATTTACGGCATGCATGCATGCAACTTAGCTTGATGGATGGATCGATCAATCGACGTGGCGTGGAGAAAAACCCACACGTACGTACGTAGCGTGCATCCAGCTGCTGTGAGACGACGATAGCTTGATGGATCGATCCGATCCGGATCCTATCGCCAGATGATGCCGGCGAGCGGCGGCGGAGGCGCCGCCGCGGCCACGGCCCAGAAGTCCGAGGCGCCGTTGTCGTCGGCGAGGTGCGACGTGCACGACACCGGCACCAGGCACAGCCCTCTGCTCCGTAAATCCTTCCTGCTGCCCTCCTCCACGCCATTCACCTCCTCCTCCTGCATATATTTATATATTTGTGCATGCAAAAACAACTTAAAATCGATCATGCACGCATGCGTTTCATAAGCTTGACCTAATAAACATGCTATATCCAAGACTATATATGTGTGTATATGCAAAACAAATTAAAATCGATGATGATGTGGGCATGCGCTTTTTTCCTAAGCTTAACCTAATGAACCACTATATCACTATGACAGAAATAATCGTCACCGATAGCATTTTCACCGTTGGTTTGAACAAAGTCGTTGGTGATGATTTTCACAAACGGTTCGTATTACAAACCAGCGATGAAAATCATTTTCATCAAAGGTTCAGCCAGTGGCTGAACCAGCAATTTGTGGAGCTTGGGCAAGACACAGAACCATGCTAATAGTGACAAGCACCACGCATCTTCTCTGTTCTCTGTTCTCTGTGCATACCGGTATAGAATTTGTGGAGTAGTTGTTAGCAGTAGACGTGCGGCCCAGGCAACAGCCTAGGGTGGCCTGGCCTTGGCTGCCACTGGGTTCGGCCAACCGGTGGTGAAAATCACCACGTGAGTGGTAGTGAAAATCACCAACCGTGCGCGTGTTTTCTCTTGGGGGCTGACAAGTCGCACCACGTGTGTGCGCATGTCACCCTATGATCGAGTGGCCGGCTCGGCAGCACATGGATCCATCCCTCTTTCTCCTTATCTCTCCCATGAATGAAGCAAGGAAATGTATCTTTCCCTCCCTTCGTCCCTCTCCCTCCCCACTCTCTCCCTGTCCCTCTCTTCCTCCTCGTGACTCATGGCAGCGGTGGCCCATGGCTTCGGTGTGGCACGGGCAGCAAGGCGCGACAGGTGCGGCACAGCACCACTGGCCTGGTGGGGCCGCACTGGTGTGCCCCTACACGGCAAGACCGAGCCTAGAGTGTGACATCCGGCCCAGTTTAGAATTTGACCCATAGTGCCCATGTGTATGTTAATGAGATATTGTGAAGAGTTTAATCCCACCTTGGTTGTTAAAAGGTGGGATAGACCAATATATAGGCTTCTAGAGTCCATCCCACCATCTCCGGGTTAATCCTTTTACGTGAAGCGAAGATGAAAGCGTAAGTAGGATGGTGGGAATCTGAGCCGTTTGGACTCTACGGCATTACATAGAGGGGCAAGATTGGCGCGGCCCGACACCCCGGCGCTTAGCCACACCCACCCCACCGTGAATTCGGGGATTTTCTCGAACTAGATGAGGAGTCCTCTACCGTAATGCGAATGCTCGAGCCGCATGCTATCCCCCCGCAATCCAAGTTTTTTTCGATAGTTGTATGTTGGGAGGTTTCAATCCAAATAGCCTTTTCCGAGTTTTTTTGGATAGTTGTATGTTGGGAGGTTTCAATCCAAATAGCCTTTTACTTCGTCTGTTCCAAATATACTCTTATTTCATTATTGTACATAGTAGGTCATTTTGTATTGTTCACTAGGCCTAAGGAAGTAGGTTAAATGACTATGGGGAACCGTATTGTTAGTCATATACATTAAATGATTTCTCCTGTCTATGTACAAGGCAAAATATGCCGTTTAATTTTATTTTGAACGGAGAGAGAGTACTATGTGCACTATATATTGAGATAAGCTAGCTTTATATTCGATCTCGATCAATCGAAGCTAATTAACTTACCTAGGTAACTTATGTACTCCTTATTACGTACGGTCACATATAATAAGTTGCATTCTATACATGAAAATGGTCTCCAAATTAAGCACAGCATTGACTAATACCCTTGTAACGCATTATTAAAATAAACATACATATATAGTAATATAAAGGTACAGTTTACAAAAAGAAAAAAAAACTATCTCGCATCATTTCCAAATATCGATTCAATATATTTTTAAAATAATCAGTAACTGCAAAATTTAGAAAGATGGACGTAATAACCGACCGAAAACATCAACTATTATTTGTGATCGGATGGAGCATTTACCTGCTGCTTGGTCGGGCCTTCAACTTCTACCATGCCATTGCTAGTGCTATGGTTTAGCAGCAACTGCATGCACATCAGCAGATATAAAATTAAAGAAAAGTTAATTACCATTACTATTCCATTCATATATAAAATATATATTCTAAGCAAAAGTAAGGGGCTGAAACAAGAATATATATAATGCACGAGATCGAGATCATGTATCAAGAAGCTAATTAGTAAGTAGTATAATGGGTAATCATAATGAAATTCATGCGTATATGCGAGGAGTGCACGCACACACATACGCCTGGGCCGGGGGTCCCACGACGCAGTGGGAGGAGAGGAGTGCAGCTTACGGCTGCAGCAAGCTAGCGACATGGATGGATCTGTCAGCTTGCATTTGCATACAGGCGTGCAAAAAAGTGAGCTAGAAAACGATCAGCTGGCCGGTGGACGTGCAATATACTATCATTCAGTCACATGCTGCGCTCTGCAGCATGCAGTGCTCAAAATGCTCATTGCCACTTTGCACTGCAGTTAGTTGTTACGTGCCATGGTGATTTGCAGTTAGTTGTTGCGTGCCATGGTGATTATCAGTGACAAGTTCGTCTATAATGATCAGTCAGGTAGCTACTAGCTACTAGCAAGGGCCGGGAAAGTTTGCATCATATCATCATACATATGCATGCTCGCCGGGATCTACAATTACTATAGCAACTTTCTGTCTTTCTGACCTAGTGATCAGTGTACATTAATTTCAGTGAAGTGCATGGGTCCCTTATCATCCATTCACCTTGCAGATTTGAGTGTTTGACATCATCTATGGGGGTGATTGGTTGCTCAAGGGTCAGCGAGCTGGGATGGAGTGACTGTCCAGGCTCTTTCCAGCCATGATAAGACTATGCACTTTACTGTGTTTGGTTGTCTTTGTTGTTAGTTCAGTACGAAACGAGATCGTGTTTGGTTGCACGCATGCATCAAAGTTTTGAGTGTCCGACACATGGACCCCTGCACCATGCGTGTATGAAGCCATCCCGGCTCGCTAGGGAAGGAGAAATTGAGAAGATGGAGGCGTGCGGGATGGAGGGGGTAGATGAATGGAACGAAGTAGGCAAAACGTGCGAGGAGGAGAACCAAACATGGCCACAGTGCACCACTTGTACCGGACGGGGCTCCGGACGGCGCGAGCAGGGCAACCAATCACCCCCTATGTATCTATCATGAAAAGATGCAATTCTTGGTTTGGATTGAGTCAAACTTTTATATTTTTAATAAATTTATAGAAAACATATTTCATGGTGAATCTAATTACAATTATTTGGCATCGTAAAGAGTAACGCATTGTGTTTGTATTTGGTGAAAGGTTGAGACAGATTGACATGGTAGTAAGCTATAATTGCATCTTTTTTTGGACGAAGGGAATATATATATGCATACCATTTTATTTTATAAGATTAGATACCATCATATACTAAACCGTTGATTTTTTTAGAAAGGAAAATGCCCAAACTTACTGATCAATATACTGGAATTCAGCTAGCTCCTGCTTCTGAGCCTGTTCGCTAGTTGGTTTCTGGGCTGATAAGTCCGGCTGGTGCTGGTTTGTTGTGAGAGGAAAACACTGTTGGCTGGCTGATAAGCCCTGGCTGAAACCAACAAGCGAACAGGATGTCTGATTTTTTATGCCTACGAACCGTAGCTTTGTGGCACACTCTACCAGATTGGCTAGTAAGCTAGGTATATTGTGACATTTTTTAGAGTAAGATGGAAGTTCCATTTCATCATAATTAAAGCCCATATTCCTTTTCGGAGGGGTAATTAAAACAGACAAATGATAGGTCCTACAAAAGGACTATAAAAAGCTTCAATTTCCTCCCTCCTCATCTGATATGGACAGTGCCCGGCTTTGCTAAAGCCTAAAGCTACCTTTGCTAATCGGCCAATATATCATCTGACGGAAGCTAAAGTGGACCAGATAAAGTGTGCGTGTCAAAATTCTCATTTTCAGGGAACCTTTGTTTGCACGTGCCTGCGCATCTCGACCCTAAAGCTCGCTCGTGCAAAGTGCGCACACACACACGCGTACACTGCAATACAGTACAATACATGAGAGACTCTTATCACTCACACTTAGGGCGTGTTTGGTTTACACCTCCAAAAATTTAGTCACCTAAACCAGCTCATAAGGTTTAGTAACCCCCTATTTGGTTTGGTGGACTTAAATAGACTAAAATAGACATTTTAGTTCCTTTTAGTCATAGTGTTTGGATCAAAGTGACTAAAATGTGAGGTAGCCTGACTAAAAAGTGGGCTTTAGTCCCATTTAGTAATACTTGGGTGACTAGTTGGCTAATACACTTTTTAGTTCCATTTAGTCATAGTGTTTAGGTAAAATTGACTAAATGAGACTAAATAAGACTAGATTTAAGAGGTGATGAGTGAACCAAACACCCTCTTAACTTACATTGTGTTGTTGCATGGAGTTCGACCCGTTGCCATGGCCCAGGTAAGGGAAGCTGAGAGCCTGCATGCGTAATATAAAATATATACGTGTTAATTGGCATCGTGTATATAAATATAACAACCGGGTAAGCACTTGCCATATATTAGCATCAGATCGGCAGTAGATGTATACATAAACAGCAGAGAGAGAAGAGCAGAAATGAACAGCAGGTTAACAGAGAGCATGCATGTCGCATGCATAGTGCCTGAATGAACTGAAACACACAGGTTAACACACGACGACATTACCACAGAACAGCAGAACAAGACAGTAGGACGACATGCATGCAACTTGCTGCAAGCAGCCATGCATGCATGCGCGCGCTTTAACGGCGTGCTCTTACACTCGGTCCCACACGTACGTCCTTTTTTTATTTCACTACTCACGACTCGATCTGTTCGCTGGTTGGTTTCTGGACTGATAAATCTGGCTGATACTGGTTTGTTGTGAGAGAAAAATAATGTTGGCTAGCTGATAAGTCCCTGACTAAAACCAACAAGCAAACAGGCTTATCGTCTCAGTCAACAGTCATCACTGTAATATATAATATATAGTTAGTTACAGGTGCACGTAAATTTCCGTGCCCCACACCATTTTAATGTAGGATACATGCACTGACCCCATGAATTGGCCAATGCCTAATGGCCAGTAGATTGCTCAAACAGTCCTTATTCTGCTCATATTGTTTTACACTATCTCCATTTCAAATTATAAACTATATTTTGGTTTTTCTTACTACATACGCTATGACTAGATACGTAGCAAAAACTATCTACCTAAAAAATAAAGAAAAAAGACTTAAAATTTAGAACGGGTTAGCACTCCATGCAGTTACTTGTCCAATTGCATGCATGAAAACGTGCTTAAGTTATGCTAGCTACTAGCTCATACTGATAAACAAAAGAGCTGATATATATTCTGTAAATTCTTATTAAGTTTACAATGAACTAGTTTCCTTAAATAACGAATGATTTGATTCGTTATCATCTGCCACTTTAAGATCTGACAAGTGCGCGCTAGCAACTGGCTACCGCAGAAATTTGAAAGCCTTCCAGCACTGAACATCTACATATATAGCTGGTGACATTTTAAGAACTGAATAATATATGCATATATTTGGATTCTGAAAGGAGATCGAGATCGATGAAGAGAAATATAAATAGATTGGATTAATGAAAAGGGTTGGAATTGGACCTCGATTTGACTCAGGAGGAATCTGATATAGCCAATAGTCTCCTGTAGGACGGAGGCAGTGTCAGTCTGCAAAAACCAACACGTATGTTGTCAGGGACTTCTTGCTTTGTTTTCAGTGATCATCATCACTAGGACTCCTAAAGCGAAAGAAACTGCAGCTGAAAAAGTCTCCTGAAAAGAAAACGAGAGAAAGGGGGCCGTGCTAGAGGGAGAAATGAATCAATGGCAGAATGCATGGGCAAAAGCACATTTGCATGCATGTATGACAGCAGTGACAATAGGATCATGCATGCATAGTCCATCTGCTAGAGAATATATACATGCACATGCACATCATCTGATATGAGGAGGTAAATAACAGTGCTCTTCGATCTACTGTTTAGTTGCATGAACTTTTTTATCTATCAACATGCATGCAGTGATATATGCCTTTGTACTATTGCTGCATATAGCTAGTTAAGCGAAGCTAGCTGTTTGTACCTTTCCAAATGGGGATACTATCTGGTGAAGTGCTGTGATTCTATCCCCAAGCCTCTCCTTTCTCACCTGATGAAACAAACAAGGGCTACTTCTCATTATTACTTGTACATGTTGTGTGTATAACTGTGTATAGCTGAAAACACACATGATGGACAATGGTATCGGTAAGTCAATATTAATTTGCATGCATATATATTATACTGAATAGAATCTATTTTGATCAACACAATATCCATCTGAAACTAGAGAAATGCTAAGCATGTAAAGGCATGCCTTATATATTGTGGGTGCGGTGCAATGCGCGCATGGCTATTTATATGCCTCCAGTGGTGATCACTGAGAGAAGCCTCGATCGATCAGAACCGGGGTTCTTCCAAGATTGCATGAACAATGGGCATGTATATACACTCTAGAGAGATGAAGAAACCTTTAGGGTAGACTGTGCTGAAGAAGAGGTCTGAACCCTAGCCTTCTTATTTGGAGCCGAACCACTTGCAGCGCTGTTACCCTGAAACAAAAAGATTAAATGAAGAAACATGCAGCAATAACAATTAATCATGAAGTCAGTTCCCCATCCATGGAACATTATACAAAAATTAATAACGCGAGCTATGCCGTATGACTTGAAAGTGGAACTTTATTACACCGCTTCCATGAGATCGTGAAGACAGCAACAACATAATGCAAGATCCAAAAATTATGAAAATTTTGGAACATGGGTTACAGAAAGGAAGAACATGTATATGCGGCAAACTAGATAGAATTTTTCATGATCCAGTGCCGGCACGGTGTTGTTAACTTCTTATAAGGTTTTATTGCTCACCTCGGAAGAGTTATCAGAGTGATGATTCTTCAGCTCCGGTGCCGGCACGTTGGTGTTTGAGAAGTCCAACATGTTGCTGCCGAGGCTTGCGGTGATGCAGGACCTAAGAGAGGACGACGCCAAGAGCGGCTGGCTCACCTGATGAGACTTACTGTTGGTCCCCGATGTCTGGATCTCCTCACCACCATGTCCATGGCCATAGAAATTGTAAGCTGCAGGCCCCTCCTCTAATCCTTTTGACAGTAAAGCTGTGGCAGCGTTGTACCTCTCATGATCTCCGACTAATCCCCCACTGTTCAATAATTTTGTGGTTGAGGACATAATTAGCAGTGATTTTGTATAAAAAAAAAAAGAGATCGAATTGCATGAATTCGTCAAAGACTCCCATGCATAAATATATCTAGCATTCTACCATGGCAGAACCAAATTAAAGAGAACTGAGAGCACGGTAGATAGGGATAGATAGAGAGGGATGTAGTATTTACAGCAGCAGCTGGCTCCATGACTCCTGCATGTTGCTTTCCCGCACATCATTCAGATCAGAAGTAGCAGAGTTGTCGTTCCGCACCTCAGGAGGCAGAGGCAGAGGCAGGCCAGGCCAGAGGAGATTTGAAGGAGGTGCTGGGGGAGGAGCATGGAAGAAGGAGAAGATAAGGGGGGCATCTTGTTGGAGCCCTCTTCTTGCTCCTCCTCCTCCTCCTCGGCACAAGGCATCAAACTGCTCATCATATTCTTGCTGTCTGTACCACCGCCACTACTCCACACCATCTGCTGCAGCAAAGAGCTCCTGAATTCTCCACCCATATCATGCTTGGCTTGAGAGCAAATACTACTATAGATAGCTAGGATCCAGCAGCCACTATCTTTCAAATAAATTCCCTTACTTATTGTGCAATCTCATCTCATCAGGTCAGGTCAATCTTTAGGGCTATAGCTGCTGTCTGGCCGGTAGCTTTGCTTGTCCTCCTCCTCCTCCTGCTTTCTCTTTCTAGAGATGGGGTCTCTAGAGGGAGAAAACAACAGCAAGGGAGAAGGAAAAGGGATAGGACCTATTTGGAGAGGAATCTGAGCTTTTGTTTTGCTTTGTATTCCCTGTCCTGCAGGTTCCTTTCGCTTCACTCCTTTATTCATTTCTGAATGAACTTTCCACCCCTTGCGGTTTTTCTCCATCTCTTTATTTTACTAGCTAGTAGTAGTACTGCATGGACGTTTCTTTTTTTTAGTCTTTGATTTTTCTCTCCTCATCACCCTACTTTTGCTTTATCAAATTATAAAGTGATGGCGGAAAGGCACGTTGTGTGACACACATTTTGGGGCTAAAAGGAGTGGTTTGTGGAGAGGGTGGTATTTCTTAATTCGACCTCTTATATGCTAGCTAACTTTCAGCTACAATAAGTTAAGTACAGTTGATTGCTACGACCAGTGCCATTACCAGTGATGATAATCTTAGCTTATTTCCAAATATATCCCTATCGATGTTCTTTATTTAGATTTATTACTCTCAGTGGACATATTGTGTTCATGCGTGATGCACGATATATATACATAACTTAATTACTTCCTCCATCCAAAAAAGGAGATGTCAGGGTTTTTAGTATCCGATGTAACAACTTGCTCGAAACCTTCTCAAATTTTTACCACGGCCTCCACATGCGATAACACGACGCCTCGACAAGTTTTGTGATTTTCGGACTTCGTTTGTATTTTATATAATTTAAAATCACATTTCCGACAAGTACCTCGACATGTAACGTCAACGAGATGCTCGAGATTTCATGTGAGTTCCTAGATACGGCCTAAACATACCATAAATATCATGAGTATCAATTTTTGGATGACCATAGTCCATTATTCCGTGTACCTGCAGTTCAAATTTGAAATATCCCAAAAAATTCGATGAAACGAAATAAACTAATGAAATATATAAAAAAGTCAAAATTGCCCCAAATTTTAAAATAGAGTTTGAAATACTGTCACAAGGCCACAGAAAAAAAATTTGGGCCCAAAATAAAAAAAAATTTTTTCGAGTGCCATGGGGGCACTCGGCAAAGTGGGCTTTGTCGAGTGCCGGCCCAGGAGGCACTCGGCAAAGTTGAAATAAAAAAAACTAGGCACTAAAAGCCCACCGGCCCAACCCCCTGCGGGCCCAACCCTAAATCACTCCCCACCACTTGCTCTCCAGCCCACCCCAGTACCCACCACCCCACCCACCACACCCCACTCTCGCCGTGAATCGCCACCCACCCGTGAGCCTCCTCACACGCGCCGCCTCCACTGCCTCGCCCGCGCCACCCCACGGCCGTCACGCCACCATGCCAGCCCCACCCCCGCCGCCCGCTCACCTTGCAGCCACTCCGCAGCCCGACCCCCTCGCCTCGGCCCGCCCAGTGGTGGTCTGGTGGTGTGCCGGCCAAGCCATTTCGGCAGCATGGCGGTCATGTCCCGGCCGTCCTTCTTCCCAAGCCGCCACCAGAGGGAGCAGGGAGGTAGGAGGAGCAGGGAGGAGGGAGAGAAGGAGGGGGAGAAGAGGAGGAGAGAAGAGGAGGAAGAAGGAGAAGGGAGGAGGAAGAAGGAAGAAGGAAGAAGGAGGAGGAGGGAGAGGAGGAGGAGAAGGAGAAGGAGGAGGAGGAGAAGGGAGGAGGAGCCCCGGCCGCTATCCACGCCTCATTAGCGGCGGTGTCGTGCCCTTGGCGCCCCGCTCCCGACTCCGCCCACCGTCGACGAGCACACTAGGTTCGCCCTTCCCTTTCTATTCAAATCGTGCAATGGATGTCGGCCATCGAGCCCTTGTTAGTAGTAATAGTTGTTGTATGTGGTTTTCGGCCATCGAGCCGTTGTTTGTGGATGTTGGCCTTCGTGCCGATCTTTTTTGCAGGTTTTTTAAACCTCTCCGTGCAAGGGAGGTTCTGCTGAAATTTTCAATTGTCACTAATGTATTGCCTTTTTGTGCAAGAGGAGGCCCCGACGGAGAGACCTCGGTGACCCCGATTGTCTTTGTCAGCGTTGCGGGTCTGCCTGCACCGCGTCGCGGCGCCACTGCACCGACTCGCCATAGCCCCGCTAGCCTGACCTCACCGGCACCCTAGGTATAACCCCTCTATCCGTATCATGGTCTTAGGTCGCTGATCCCAGTTAGGCATCTCTCGTCCGAAAGAGATACAGTCGGAGTTATGCAGGTCTTTGCATATCTGCGGCGTTTCGCTTTTGGATTGTCCACGTTTTTGATACAGCCATGGATACGTAGATGGGTTAGTTTCATGGTCGCTCCGGTCCGAGATGGTGTTTCGGCATCACCCCTTATTGTTCTCCGGATACACTCTCCCTTGCGGGGCGTGTATCGGGAGAACGGCGAGAGGTGCTACCAAAATCTGCCTCTGATAGGAGCGAGCATGGAAACTAACCTCATCTACGGATCCGCGGGTGGGATTAGGACCTATCCTCACCTATTAGAGAGTAGGGACACAGCGTAGATGCAATTGATGGTGACTCATATGTGTTGATACATCTGTTAAAGGATGGAGGACCGTGAGTGGATGTACACGCTTCGGAGAGACGAGCACGATTATGACTTGTTGTTTATAGTCAAGGTCGAAGAATTCTTATAGCATGCATTTGGCGAGAGTGCTTTGGAGGCCATTCTCTAGTGGTTTGTCCGTGCAAATGGTTGTGACAACAGAAGAAGGAAAGATAGGTTAACCATGGGTAAACATATTGTGAAGTTTGATTTACTCCGGGCTACCACCGGTGGATCCACCATGGTGAAGCCGATCGTGTCGAGGAGGAGGTGGTGAGACCACGGCTCGAGGCTTTTCGATGATGATGCGGGGTAGCAGACATCTTTGGATGACACGCACCAAGCTCGGTTATTCAAGAAGGACGTGACAAGGAGGAGATGGAGGCTGCCGCAGATGCCTTCTACCTAATGTTGGACTCGGCACAGAGACCCCTTCACGATCATACTAATGTTTCTCAGCTGGATGCCATTGGTCGCGTAATGCGGTTGAAGGCTGAGTTAAACCTAAGTCGAGAAGGCTTTGACAAGATGGTGGCCGTGTGGAGCGATATGCTACCGAAGACACACATTATGCTGAAGAACTTGTACGAGTCAGAGAAGCTCCTTCTTGCACTTAAGATGTTGTATGACAAGATACATGTGTGTCCGAAGGGGTGCGTCCTATTTAGGAAAGAACACGCGGATGCAAAGTACTGCCCGAAGTGTAAATCCTCTAGGTACGTGGAGGTAGACTCAGGCGATGGCCAGAAGAGGTAGCTTAAGATCCCCATGAGAGTCCTACGACACCTTCCGTTCCTACCGAGGCTCCAACGGCTATTCATGACCGAGGAATCCGCAAAACAGATGACATGGCACAAAAATGGCACACGGTACAATCCTGAGAAGATGGCACATCCATCCGATGCTGATGCATGGAAGTACTTCAATTCGCGGCATCCTCTCAAAGCGAGGAGGCTCGTAATGTACGTGTCGCCTTCCGGCAACAGATGGGTTCAATCCATATGGCATGATAGCTGCACCATACACATGTTGGCCCGTGTTCGTCATCCCCGAAGTCTCCCCGCGCTCCTTTCAATGGCATACCATGTTCCTGTCGTTGATAATCCCTGGACACCCGGGGAGTAATATGGGTGTCTTCATAGAGCCTGTGATAGATGAGTTGATCGATGCTTGGGTCAAAGGGGTGTGGACATACGACCGAGCTACAAAGACTAGCTTCAAAATGCATGTCTGGTACCACTACTCCCTGCATGACTTCTTGGCGTACGGGTTAATGTGCGCCTGGTGTGTTCAGGGGAAGTTCCCATGCCTAATATGCAAGGAAGCTATGAGGTTCATATGGTTGAAGAAGGGTGGCAAGTATTCGTCGTTCGACAAACATTGTCAATTCCTCCCTCTTGACCATCTATTCAGAGAAGACATCAAGAGCTTTATGAAAGGTGTCAAAGTGACAAACCCTAGACCGCGCTTGAGGACTGGGGCGGAAGTTCGTGCTCAGATAGATGCTCTTGTGCCCAACGAAGATGGTGGTTTCGTGGGATATGGTGAGCAACATATGTGGACTCATAAGTCCGGCTTGACGAGGCTCCCCTATTTCGATGATCTCCTACTGCCCCATAACATTGATGTCATGCACACTGAAAAGAATATCGCCGAGGCACTTTGGGCAACGCTCATGGACACTGACAAGTCTAAGGACAACCCTAAGGCTAGAGTGGACCTGGCGACGTTGTGCGATAGGCCAAACCTAGAAATGCGGCCTCCTGCAATAGGAAAGCAGTGGAGAAGGCCTAGGGCCCCCTATGTCTTGAAAATCGATCAAAGGAGGGAAGTACTTCAATGGATCAAGAATTTAATGTACCCTGATGGATATGCAACGAATCTGAGCAGGGGAGTGAACTTAGAGACTCTATGAGTCAACGGGATGAAGAGTCATGACTACCACATATGGATTGAGTGAATACTTCTGTCGATGGTTTGAGGCTATGTCCCTAAGCATGTCTGGCTAGTGCTGGCAAAGTTGAGCTACTTCTTTCGCCAGCTTTGTGCTAAGGAGCTATCTTCGACCGTCATTATAGAATTGGAAACTATGGCACCTGAGTTGGTCTGTGAGCTTGAGAAGATCTTTCCACCCGGCTTCTTCTTGCCGATGTAGCATCTGATTGTGCACCTCCCGACCGAGGCACGGTTGGGGGGCCCGTGCAGGCCTATTGGTGCTATCCAATCGAGCGATGTCTAAAGACTCTTCACAAGA